GATTTGAAAGTCAGCTTGCTGAGAAGTATCAAAAAAGATTAGTTTGTATTGAATCGTTCCAGACGTGTTACGTATTTTTCTATGTTCAGCATCCCTGCTCTGTACTCTTTTTAATATTTGTAAAGAATGCTTCCAGCACCAACGCCAACCTTCACTGCTTTACTTTGTTCTCCTGACCACCTGGTGCACAATATGCACATCAAAGGTCTTAATTTCACTTGAGAAGGATTTGGAAGCAGGCTGGTTTAGCGCTAAGCAAAAAAATAATCAAACAAGTCTTTAATTTCTTTCCCTCCCCCAACCTCTCTGTTTCAAAGACACTCTAAAAACAATCTGTAGATTGAGTGAACAGAAGTGTTTTTATTACAGAAATCCTCCTCCTTCCACATGGATTGTTGCAAGGGCTTTTTGGCCCTCTACCCAATCTCAACATTTTGGCCTGTAAGAAAACAAGCAACAGATAGTGTGTTTGTTTGGCTCCTCGTTCTCCAGTCATCTGGAAATGCCTTATTTGCCGTTTGCATCCATAATTTCTTTTCCAAGCATCCCTTCAAAACATTTATTTAAGCTCAAGGGGATTGGAGGAAAAAAATAGTCCAAGAAGCATGTTTGGTTCTTTAAACTGATCCCTTTTTCAGACTACCTCAGCAATGTTAATTCAGTTTAGCAAAATGAAAAACAAAGCCCTTGTACATCCTGCTAGAAGGAGAGGAATCACTAACATAATCCTAGTTACATACAAAATGCCTGAGGCTCCTGAGACTGCCCCATCCACCATGTATAAATGTTAGGGTATTGCTGGAGTGTGCCTCAGGGCCTGGGAATGGTCTCTGTCCTGTTTTATTTATTAGTGTGGACATAGCTCCTTTGAAGAACCTGATGATCTAGTATGGAGGCTGGTTTTAAATCTTACCGTAAAAGGCGACATCTAAAACGTTACGGCAGTGTAGTATTCAAATGATGGTTTCTTATTAAAAAATGTTGGGAAATTCAGAATTGGAATGAAAACGTCATGGAAAAACAGCATGTATGTCCAGAGCCTTTTCCATGAACACCCTCTCTGGGATGGTGCTCTTTGCCCTGGATATTCTGGGTATTCTGGCTCACAGAGCTCTAAATGTGCACTTTAGCTTGCAGTCATTTTGAGAGGCCTTGGGAGGAGTGTGTGGTGGAGATGTTCAAAGCTGATATGAGGACTGGATGGCCCTTCCCATAGCATCCATAGTGCAGTGGATGCTGATGTGGGCAGAACTCCGAGTCGGGGAGCTGGCTTGTTCTGGGCCATCTGGTCAGCATTTTTAGCAAAGCTTCAGTTTTCAAGCTGTAGAAGTGCAGAATGGGACTGGCTGGCGGGCGGAAAGCCACTGATTTTCATAACTTTGACACAAAGTTCTCCAGAGGGCCGTTAGTGATGCTATTCACACAGTCACCCCTCACTTCGTCCAACCTGGCAATCCTTCCTGAATGACCAGATAAACTTATTTATGCTTCCCTTACCTTCCAGATGTCAACAGTTGGCTGCTCACCTTTGGGTTCCAGCTGCACAATGTCATCCCTGGATACCCCAAGCCAGATATGGATGCGATGGAGCCGTCATATGAGCTTGTCCACACACAGATGAAAACTCAAGAGTGGGACAATAGCAAGGTGATCCGTGCAACTATATACTGTATTTTACACCCTTATCAGCAAAGCATACGTTGCAAGTTTCTTGTAAAAAGCCCCAGTCTGTTCTCCCAGATACACTAGGAGTTTAAGTGCATGTCAACCTAAGGCAGCTTCTCCTTCCCCATTACAGTAATGAAATCAGACTAAACAGCCACATCTGAAGTTCTTTATTGCCACTGTGGTTTTTCTCATGCTACTTTCTGGTAATTGCTCAATGAAATGGCCTGTTACTGTTTTTGTCTCCTGCAAGAGGCCATGTTACAACATAATTCAGGCTGCATTCTAGGCCTTTGAATACAGGATTCTTGGATGCAAGAAATAGCACATTTTTTGACACAGAATCATTTTCTAAAAAATGTGTTTTAGGAGTTTGTCCAGTATGGGTTAAAATATCTTAAGTAGTGAGTCCCATCACTTATCTAGGAAATTGTTCTGCATTACAGTAAGTCTCACCAGAAGGAAATTTTAGCTGATAGCTCACTTTCATTACCTGCCTCACTCTAATCCCAGATCACTGTGTCCTGCTTGGAGGAATGGGCCTGCGTCACAAGGCATTTTGGCAGACAAACATTAACACAAATGACACACAGACACACAAAATTCAATGAGAAAATTGTTAAGAAAAGGCTTTTACAACCAAATCATTTCCGCCTCTCCTCCTGCTGGGAGTAGTTCTGCTAAAGGATGGAGACATCTCTGTTAGAGGTTAGCACACTGGGTCAGGACTTGAAAGCCTTGAGCTACTCTCAGCCCTACTGCTTATCAGTTGTATGACCTTGAAAAAGTCATTTACCTTTCAGGATACTGTTTTTTTCTCTTAGCCTAGTTTATTCTGGAGTTGTTTTATCTCTTTAGTTTGAAGCATCTTTAGGATATAGATTCTTGCTTGCTATTGCTTTGCATTTGAACATCAAAAGAGTAGGGGGGCACAGATTTGCTCGGGGAGATTAGGATACTCTCTTATCATTTCTCCTAATAAAGTGATTGAGGTAACAAGTGGAATCAATCCTAGCTGCCTTCATAGCCTCTTTATCTAGGAGTTTGCTGAAATCTCACTGTCCTAGAGCAGACTCTTGAGGTTCAATACACATATTAGACCCAAAGGTAAAATGCAGTGTCACATTCCCCCAATCACAAAAGGTATCACTAGACCTATGAACAAAACACTGTGGTTTAATAAAATACTCATGTGTCAGCCCAGCCTTGGTAACTGAGCTACAGCAAAGACAAGGTAAAATATGCCAGCTTCAACAAGAGAAATTTAATTAAGACATAACACTTTATAGTGGAGGAAGGCTGAAAAGCACTTTCCCTTTTGCTACCATCGCTCAGCTGATGCTTGAAAATCATTATGCCTTAGTAACTCTGTTATATTTTGAGGCTTAGAGACTTTTTTTTTCTTTTTCCCTTGGATAAAACAATGAAATGCTAGAGATAATTTCTGTAATGAGAAATAGCCTCAGGATTTTTCCTTCCCTTTGGTGTGACACAGTCTCCCCAGACAAAGCTGTTCAGGAGAAGGCAAACAGGGAAGGCTCGTACAGAGACAGCACAAAAGGTTGTCTCTAAATTATTGTTTTGTGGAGCAGACAATAATTCTCACAGAACTGCAAGAGAGGTTCTTACTGTTATTATTTTATCATCATTTCATTACTATTATTATTAAGCATATAAAATAGGCAAATATATTGAGTGACAACTTGTGAAGTCTGACACTTGCTCATCCAGGCAGCTGAACTGGAAATAAACCCAACACGCCAGCTCCCTTCCAGCCACCCATTTTAGATGGATCTGCCTGAATAAGCAATAAAAAGGGAAGAAAGTCTGTATGTCCCCTTCAGGTTTTGCAAACCAAGAAACTGCAGTGACCTGCTTAGCAAGATGAGAGACTTATGCAGCTTCCTGGTTCCAGATGAGTCACTTTACATAGTGTTGAAAGTGAATTTTAACCATTGTTGGTCATTTCATATTCTTCTTCTGCATTTTGGCAAAAACAAAACATCAAGACTTTTTTAAAATTATTTTAACCTTCAGTAGTTGCAGGGTCATGTACTGATAGTGCAGTGGATCTCAGATGTTAAGTGGGATTCCCTTCTTTTCTCCTACGTCTAAGTCCATCTGGCACATTAGAGGCATATATTTGCATAAAATAAATTCATTTACATATGGCACCCAAACATGTGATCTGTTTTTCCCTGAAGTTATCCATGCACACCCCTCTAATCTACATATACAAGGCAGAGATTCTAGTATGTGTTAAAGTAGGTGCAAATAGAAGATGAAGCAGAGTTGGAAATCTGGTAATAGGGGGTGGGTGGCTGTAGTGAGAGAGAAAAGAAAGGCAGAAAACCTGCAGAAGCTGAGGAAATATTTCATTTGATAGGACTGAACAAGCTTTAGAATAGCCTTCCAAACAATATGGAAGTTCCAGATCTTGTACCATTTAAAAGTAGGCTGTATGAGGCCCTGGAAAGTGTACAATTCTGCTTGGAAATGAAGGATATTCACTGAAAGATGTGCCAAATCTTTCTCATCTCTGCCCCCAAGTTCCAGATCTTGTACCATTTGAAAGTAGGCTGTGTGAGGCCCTGGAAAATGTACAATTCTTCTTGGAAACGAAGGATATTGAAAGAGGTGCCAAATCTTTCTCATCTCTGCCCCCTCAGATCCCTGATTGTACTGGTCCAGGTACCTCCTTGTGACAGACCAAAGCAAGGCTGAGTTACTCCACTGACTTTACTGGTCAAAGCCATGGCTCAGCAGATCGAGTTAGGACTTCTGTCTAAAAGGAGTCAGTAATATGAGTGCAACAGCCAAGCAATTCCTCATAAATGGCTGCACTGGATCTCTTGAGTAAATAGCCAGAGGGGCCTTGCATCTCCTTCCCAAACACTCTTGGTACTTGCCTTGCAGGGATGAAAGAAGGGAGAGAGAATTCAGACTTTGAGTATCCGCTAGCTCAGAAACAGCCAGCATGTCATAAACCTTTCACTACCCCCTGCAGCTCTAGAGTGACATTTAAAATCCAATACTCTGTTGTACAGCGCTTTTTTCCTTTTTCTTTCCCCCTCTCCCTGTGACCATGAGGCTGTCGCTAAATTGTTTGTTGAACAAGTTCAGTGTTATTGGCCATCAGGGGACTCTGGGTGACCCTGGCATATTATGCAGCATCTGAATCCAATTTCTCTTCTTCGTTTTTCCCCCCATTTCATCTTGTGGAATTGTCAAGTAATTGCTGGAGCTGGTAGAGCTCTATTTGCAGGGAGGTATGTCTTGGAATGGTGCATCCTCCCATTAACTGCATCATGTCGTTAGCTATCTTCCCCTCATCCCATGAGCACTGAGCCCCCAAGAAGAGTTTTTGGTGTTTGAGCAGCATTTTGGAGGCAGGATCTGCTCTGGGGTGCTCATCTAGGGAGTGAGTTGTAGGGCTATGATTGCTGGTAAAGCCTCTCCCAGGGACATTCCTCACTATTTGTGGAACTGACTCTGCCAGCATTCATCATTCAGGAAGGGCATCCTCACACCTCAGGAGGATAGTGGTTCTGGAGAGTGGGATAAGGACCTAGATAAGAAGAATATTTCAGGTAGAGAAGTCGTAATTTATGCCAGTGTTTTTGGAAGAACTGGCTTTCTGCTTTGTAATCTATATGTTAGTAAGAGAAACATCTATCTGTGGATAATGGCATGAGGACTCCGAGAAACTTGGAAATGTATCCACGTATTTCACATTTTGGATCCTTGATGGGAAATGAAAGCTTTCAGTCTTACAGTGGAAGACAGTATTTAAAAACTGTCTAAAACTATTTAAAAACAACAGATGATAGTATCTGGCTATGGTATTTTGAATCCTCAAGAGGTGCAGGCAAAATGCAAGAGGCTATTCAGAGATCTCTGTAATGTGCCATTCTCTTGAGGCCTGTGCAGCAACGAACAAATGATGAAGGTCGTTCTCTTCTCTCCAATGAGTTGTTACTAGATAAAGTGAAATGTCACCTAAGGACATCTGATTAAAAAAAAACAAAAAAAAAGACTGTGAGGAAAAACAAACCCAGCATATATGTCACTCACATCGAACAACGAATATTGAAATAAAATAACTGTGAAGTCCCATCTTCCTTCCCTACATTTGTTTTATATGTACGTCAGTTTACAGCTGCTAAAAACAGGAACATTTTTAGAGTACTACATGCCACTGCAGCCTTGGATGGTAATTTTCTGTTTCCCTTCCTTGCCAGTTCATTAAAATGAGTTCTAAGATGAAACCGAAATGATCATTTCAAAGACAGGGATACTCTGTCTCTTTGAACTGCATATAATCTGTTTGCCTCCATCCCTTTTATATTCACAACAGAGCATACAAGCTGGCTATACTCTGGTTTGCCTGAACTTTCTGTTTTTTTCTCTTAGATGGGATTGCTTTTTTTTAAAAAAAGAGTGCTGTTCCCACATATAGTCTTTTATCAAGGAAATATACTCAAAGTCATTTCAAAGTCATCCCACATTGCAGGACTCATTTGCAAGATGAGAGATGTGTTTAATTTTATAATGGTTAAGTGATGATATTCTGCATTATAGTCTACAAAATGCCTGTCCTCCTGCTTTCCAGTGTGACAACAAATAGGTAAAACCCAAAATGCCTATGACCAGTCCTCTATGGAAAATCCAACAGATGTGCTTTTGTTCTAGATTAAAAGACACCTGAATTTAGGTCTCTGCCTGTGGACTTGGTATCTGAGCTTCCATTATAGTGAGTAGAGATTTACAATGAACATGATTGCTAATGCCATTTGAGATCTACAGTTTCCTGGACTTTTTCATGTCTACAGCATGTAGAGCAAGCACTAGTGGCCCAGGAGTCTCCAGTAGTGTCTAAAATGACAGTAGACATCGCTGTCTGGGGATCTTGTCAGTGGAACACAAAGGAGAATTCATACAATAAGCTGCTAAGTTTAAGGTTGAACTCAAGACTAAGACACTTAAATATAGTCATCTCCATGTGTGCTAGATATATGCATTCCATCAACATCTGGTCCATACAGACCACAGAGCTCACTTTGAGAGCTGGTTCTCCAGTAGGCGTCAGTTTTATATGGAGATGAGTCATATTCCAGATTTCATTGACTATGCTAAGTAGGGACTTGATTAATCTGACCATATAGAGGCCTGATAAGCAAAGTGACTGCTAGATGCTGTGCCAGAAGGACATGTGTCTACCAGAGTTGCTTCTGGGCTTCCACTGCTAAATAAGAGAAATCTAGGACCATCACTGACCCTGGGGCTAGGTAGCAGGTAGCAAACATCTTGGAGAAAGCAGCTTCAAATTAGCAGCTGAAATAAAAATTAATCATTATGGATAATAGCAGTGCAAAATCTCACTCCCCAGTCTTCTTTTATTAAAAAGTATAAGCACTGTTGTGCTCGTCCGAAGCACAGCAGACTGTGATATCATAGCACTTCTCTGGCAGCATCTGCATGTTCTCAGAGGTGATTGCATATTCACTTTTCATTTTGAATCAGATGAAGAGACACAGGAATGATGGTCAAACTCACCAGTTTGTAAGGACAACCTAATTTGGAAGTCCTCTCAGGGGATCAATACCTAATCCCCAGTAGTTTGCCCAGAATTGAAAAGGCAATAGAATTGCAGCAGCTCATCAAGAATTGCAGCTCATCAAGATTGGTGGCGAGGACAAAATAAACATAGCAAATGGGGGAGATTCCTGATGGGAATATTTCTGCCATGCCCTGTGCTGCCTAAACTCCCGAGCATCATTCCCCAGGGTCATAACAATTAGATGGTGGGGTTAATTCCATAGGGAACTTATCACTCAACTGCTGATAAACACAGTAAGGTGTAAGTGTTCACAAGACATAGCAGTGTAGCTTGGAAGACTTGATTTACGTTCTTGAGTGAAGGAGCTATCACCAAATGGTGATTCAGAATGAGCAATGAGAAAAGCCTTTTCCCAAAGTTACTGAGGCAATTCTGCAGAGCAACGTGTCATTCTTGAGTACTGAGGAAGGACCAGCTAGAGCCAACCAATGTGGGATGCTCCTGAGAAGAATACATTCCCATTTAAACCTCTCTGAAGGTTGAACACCCAGCCAGGGCTTTGCAGTATACCGTTATTTAGAACATTACGTGTTTCAGGGAGCCTAGAAACCTAATTGCTCAATGTCCATCATCAGTGACATCTACATTAATTATGTCCATCTTCTGCATAATTAGAGCACTTCTTCCTTCATCAGGAGAGCAGGGCTTCACTCCCTCTCACTGCTGGTTATGCCCATGTGTGACATCCCCCATGAGCAATAAGGGGGCAGTCAGAAAGGGCTCCTATTTCTTAGGTGACTGGTTAGTAAAATAACCACTGTGCCATTAATCAAAAGGGGAAGGGGAAAAGGAGGGGACTACCCTTTGAATAAGCATGAATGCCTGATGTCTTTTGTATTGAAAGCAGTAATAGAAGTGCTCCAGCATGTGGCAAGAACATTCGGATATGCCTGGATTTTCATTAAACTTAGGGATCTCTTTGATACATCTTAGAATAAGGACTTAAGTACTTCAAAATTGGCAGCCCAGAGTTTACTCTTGAACTTGTGTACATCTATTTCCTCAGAGTTTTCTCCTCTACAGGGCAAAATTGCTCATAACTGCTGAACATGTTACAGTGGTAAATCCTTTGTTTTTTATCTCTTATACTTTGAGATGTTCCCCTCATTTCTTGGAAATGGCTACTATTGAATGAGCTATTATTTCCTCCCTGTGCCTTTCTGAGTTGAGATGTCCATGCAGAAATGTCTACATTGTCTGAATTGTCTTCTCACATCCTGGGATGGATGAGAGTCTTTAGCTTCTGAACTGTATAAGGCAATATCCTTCAAAAATTTTAAATTTCCTCTAAATAATTGGAATGCAGCAAACTTTTTTTCGTAGCCTATTTTTAAGCCTGGATGTCATTACATTATTAAACTGAGCCCTTGGCAGTGCCAGGAGAATTTTGTTGTAGCATCCTCTTGCTTTTGTGAAATTTGAGCAAAGAATTGTTCATGACCATGGGTCTTTAAGAGGACTGTACCTCTATGAATTGATGAGAGCATTTCCAAAGACATTTTGCAGTAATGATGAGCTGCTGACTCGCTGCGTGCTTGCTCCATTATACGCTAACAGCAAAAGTGACTTTGTATTGTACCTGACTGTAAATGATCCAGGCTGTGTGTCTTTGCAGTTTTGCTTCAGTATAAGCCACAACTTTCACCATCAGATACAGCTGGCCTTGGATCAGGGAATCTGGGCATTGTAGTGGGTTTGCAGAGAACACAAGTTGCATTAGGACCCTCTCTGAATCTTGACCAACCTGCTTTGGCTATGCTGAAATGGGGTATATCTGGGTTATGACCAATTTGAGGGTCATGCACTGATGCAGAGTTTCTGAGGGATGGCACAAGGTGTTAAAAAGTGAAGTTAAAACAGAGGGAAAATTTACAGATACCTCCCCACATTTTCACAAAGGATCTCAAAGGATATCGAAATATCATATGACCACCAGATTTTCTATAAACGGTATCTTACATTTGAGATGAGAAACACTGGTCCATGCAATAATTGCATCCACTCAGCCAGGTGGGAGAGGCCAAACTAGATTTTCAAACCACTAAGGAAAAGAAAAAAAAGAACTTTGTCCCCCTTTGCTTTAGTGTTTAAGTGTAAAATGAGTTCATTTATTTAAATAATGAATATTAGGGCGAATAATCTGCCAACATATTCCCCGTCTGAAAAGATGATGGGGGAAAATAAATGTAGAGCTCCTCTTTAGGTGTTTCCAGGATGTTCTGCTGGTCTGCAGCATGCTAATAATACCTCTCAGTCATCAGGCTTCTCTGTCTGACATGACTTTCTCTCCTTTCTCTCCCTGCTCAGTCAATTTTGGGCGTTCAGTGTGAAGTGCAGAAGCAGCTTAAGGCCTTTGTCACTCTGGAGCGCTTTGAACGGATCTACAGCTCCAGCATTGCTGGGTGCCGGCAGGTCAAGAAGAACAAGAACTTTGCTGCTGGAGGCTCCATCTTCGGCAAAGGCGTCAAGTTTGCCATGAAGGACGGGCGAGTGGCCACGGACATCATCAGCGTGGCCAACGAGGACGGGCGCAGGATCGCAGCCATCCTGAACAATGCCCATTACCTGGAGAACTTGCACTTCACCATCGATGGCGTGGACACACACTACTTCATTAAGCAAGGGCCATCAGAAAGCGACTTGTCCATCTTGGGCCTCAGCGGCGGGCGGAGGACCCTGGAGAATGGCGTGAACGTCACGGTGTCCCAGATCAACACAGTGCTAAATGGAAGGACTAGACGTTACACGGACATCCAGCTCCAGTACGGTGCGCTGTGTCTGAACACTCGCTACGGGACCACCTTGGACGAGGAGAAGACCCGCATCCTGGAGCTGGCCCGGCAGCGTGCCGTGGCCCAAGCTTGGGCCCGGGAACAGCAGAGACTGCGGGATGGGGAGGAGGGAATTCGCTCATGGACAGAAGGGGAGAAGCAGCAAGTGCTAAACACGGGCCGGGTGCAGGGCTACGACGGCTATTTTGTGATCTCAGTGGAGCAGTACCCAGAACTCTCAGACAGCGCCAACAACATCCATTTTATGAGACAGAGCGAAATGGGCAGAAGGTGACAGAGAGGGTCAATATGGTGACTTCTTGCCAAAGACAGCTACTCTTTTGTGGCCACTTACCTGACTGTGTTGTACTCAATCCTTTTTCTAAACTGAACAAGGTGGGGGGAGGAAAATAGAAAGTGAAAGATTAATACGGTTGCACTGTAACTCATGCAACATCCTTTTTTTTTCCTTTAATTTGGCCTTCACGCTATTTTTTTTAATGAACAGAAGGTATATTTTGCCGTAGTGTGATCACAGTGAAATTTACTGTCTCTTGTCCTTTTTTTTTTTCCCCTTTGTGAGGAATTTGAAGTGGGGAGTCGTCAACGTACGTCCTTAGGTGTGAAGTGCAAACTGGGTGTCTGTGCTAACTTGTGTCATCCTAACCCTTTCTGATTTGGGACAGGGACAGATAGCCTTCCACCTGGAGAACAGGGAGCCCACAGCATCCCGGAGAGCTCGTCCTGGGAAGAAAGGAAACAGAAGACAACACTGACTGCGCATCTCCGAAAGTGACCGTCCGAATCATGTGCCTCAAAAGAGAACTTACAAGTAGTTTCCATGTTTCACTTGGGACATAAAGTGTTTTTGGGGGGCTCCTGCTGAGCAGAAGTAGATTATAGAGGCAAAGGAGCTGAGTATATTAACTTGCAAGATGATTCTCTTCCTTCCTGAACTGGAATAAAAAAAGAAAAAAAACAGTCTTTTTTTTTCATTATGAGAGTAGATATTTTGGGGTTTATTTTTGTGTGTGTGTGTGCGCAAATCCTGGTTTTAGTTAAAAACCTAGCAAAAGCCAAGAAAGGGACTCCTGCTCTATCGAGAAAGGCAAAAATGAACCCTCTCTCTCATACATAGAGCTGTTCTATAGGTGGATTTAATGCACCCATGTTGTACATTTGCTAATGGCATAACTTCATTAAATGTGTAGTGTTTCAGTACATGAGGCTACGTGTTTAACAGTCCACTGTGCTGTATCTGATAAAACCAGTTAATTTTTAGGAAGCTGATTTGAATTTAAAAGTAGTTACAGTATCCCAGTGACATACCACTGAAAATTAGAGCAAGCCAAAGCCTGCTTTTCCTCATCCTGGAGCTTGTATTTTTTGGCTGGGAAGCACAGTTTTGAGTAACGTGCTGGCAAGTCATTTATGACTATGGCAGATAAACGTCTCTTGGGGACTTTGGCAGCAGGGATTTTAAAATGTTTAATAAGTAGCAACAGCTTGTGCGTGGTGGGACAAGAAGGGGAATGTTGGAATCAATCCTCATGCTGTTTCCTACATGAGCTTGAATTAACTGGATAGCCCAGTTGACTGTTAGCAGTGAACAAAGAGGAGTTTTAATAGAAATGCCCGCTATAGAGGGGACCAAGTGCTTTAAGAGGAAACTGCTGACAAAGTTGCTCAGCATGCTAATGTAATTTGTATTCACATAACCTCTGTGCTCTGGTGTATTTGCAAGAGTCCTTGAAATTCAAGGTAACAAGGAGATGAGCTTAGCCTCCTCTTCCCTGCCTGGTGCAGTCCTGTGCTGTTAGGGGCCATTCCTGCAGGCTAAGGTGTTGGATCACCTCTCCCTGGAGCTCTGGCTGGAGATGGCCACCCATGGTCCAGAACTTCTCCATCACACGGACACGTGCATGCATCCTGACTGTGACAGCTCTCCCTGGCTCACGGTGCTACAGAGAGATGCAAAGCTTCATACCAAGAACATCTCCTTGCCTGGAGCCTCGCAGTGCACCCGAATCCCTTGATCCAGCCCTCCAACACTCTGCCACCCTCCAGCATGGACTAGTGCTTCCCTGCAGGTTTCAGACCCCAAGATGAAGTGGGGGAGTGTGCTGGGCACGTGCTCCTCCAGCAGCAAAGCGTTGTCAGTCCCGGTGCTGATCATGGTTTCCCTGTAGCTTGGTCTGCCGTGACCGTCTGCTCCTGCGCCGCTGCCGGGAGGAAGGTGATGGGATGGAAATTGCCCCAAACAGACTCTTCTTCCTCAAAATGCCAAACCTGTAAAAAGGTTAGTACATTCAGCTTCACGGCCAGCATTTTGGCATGTACCTGAGCCCCAAGACTGCCCCGTGTTGGAGTCAACCCACATGGACAGTCCCAGTGCTCTGCGTGCATCCAGGGTGGCAAGTCTCCACGTCTCAGATGCAGAAACCCGGTGCTTTTTCTTTGAACTGCACCTCGTGGTGCACAGCCCGCGTCCCTTTGGCAGGACAGCAGCTGGGCTAGAAGGGATATCCATTCCTGCCAGAGCCAGCTGGGAGGAGATGCTTCACCCGGGCCAGCCCCAGGCTTTGGCAAGAAAAGAGCTGCCCAGGGCAGCCGCCTCCCAGCAAGGTTTAGAAGAGGGCTTTCCTGGCTGCTTGGCTGGCCTCAAGCCAGGCTGATGAAGAGCTAGTGGAGATTTGGGGCATTTTTAGCCAAAACCAGCAGTTGCCACCTCCTCAGAAGGGCTCGCTTCGTCTCTCCCAGGCTCTTCGTGTCCAGCACTGTGCTTCCCTGTCCCCGTGTTACACTTGGAGCAGATCCTCTCCAACACCTCATCCTTGTGGTGACTTTAAGTGTCTAAAACGGCATGTACAGAGCTGCAGGAAGCTGGGTGGAAAGGCATCACCACCCAGTGTTGACCTGCAGTAGTCCAGAAGTAGCCTGATGCGCATCCCGTTTACACTGCTCCTGCCTGAGAGGCTTAGAAGAGAAGCGGTGCTCGTATCTCCATCCCCATGCAATTATTTCAGCACTGATAGGAGTAGCACGAGAGCAAATGGACTGACTTTACATGCAGCCAAGGAAAGAAATTAAGTGTGAAATATTCCTGTTGGAACCCTGCCGGACTGAGATGGCACCTTTACAGCCTTACACAGACTCTTCAGGTTATTACATGAGCTAATGGCTTCGAGGAGTTCACCCATTTTTCAAGAGTCTTGCAGCCCTGCTGCATGCGGCATTGCCTGCAGCCGGGCACAATCCAACCCTGCACGCGGCAGAAGCGACTCCGATTTCATTGCTCTGCCCCTGGGCATGGTTGTGCCTGGCTGCCCACTGAATCCATGGAAGTCTTTACCTGGGCCCACATTCTGCCCAGGAAATATGGACATTACATCCAAAAAAAAAAAAGAAGAAAAAAGAAAAAGCTATTCTCTTTATCAAATCTTTAAAAAAAAATAAAAGCAGAGTAGCTGTCTAGCTTTAGGAGACAAACCTACCTATCTATGTTCCTGAAGCTCAGAAGCTTTGCCCTTCCACTTTGCTTGGGTCACAAAATGAGAGGCAAATGTTTTTTTTCCATCTCCAAGCCCTGAACTTCCCCCTCTACCTCATAGAAAAGTGCTTTTTATATAGGATCTCAAGTGCTTTCCCACAGAAGATGCTTTTGATGGCCAGTATGCCAGACCATTACAAAGGAAAAAGGTAACTGCAGCCTAGCATGCATGGGCAGCATGAGTTTTCCAACTCGCTGTTTGTTTGAGTCCAAAAAAGAGGGGTTGCTCCGCCATAAGTAGGAGTTCCCCTTAAAATGGTAGCTCCTTTTAGTATTCCAAATTCCTTTAAATCCTGGGCTTGTTTTGAGCGCAGAGGGTTGCAGAAAGGATGGAGGGTGCTAATCACCTTGGGAGCATCGCAGACCTCCCCATCCATGCTCAAGCCCTAGATAGTTGCTAAATATGCTCCTTTCGGAGAAATATTCAGCCCACGTCCAGCTGAACAAGTTCCACAGCCACGTGGCTCTGCAGCTGAAAATCTCCTGTCTGCTCAGTCTGATCGAACAGGACCAAAGCGATGGACCATGCAGCCTCGCTCACAAGAAACTCCCCATGGAAAAGACATCTGCAGCTCTGGGGTGCTTTTTTTCTCCATCCTTCCATCTTCTCAAAAGAAGGGTCATTACAAATGTCGGTCCCCAACAGAGTGGGGTCTCCCTGTGGTCTCTTCTTCATTTTGCTTTATTGAGTTAAAAAAAAATCACATTTCTATTGCGATTTCAACCCTGCTAGACTAATTTGGTGTTGTGAGAAATATGGCAATGTCCATTTCCTCTGAGCTCTTTGCTTCTTTTTTTTTTTTTTTTCCCCTTTTGTACTGAAAATCAGAGCTTGGAAAAATCATTAAGAGGCAGTGACCGGAGGGAATCACTCAGCAATTTGTATCTTTGTCATCATGGCCATTGATCAGAGTGAAGAGGAAAATGGGCCACCAGATCTAAACAAGACCAGGAGACAGCAGATTAGATGAAGGCCACTAAGAGCCCTGATGCTCAATTCAGGTTTAAAAGATGCAGATGACTGGGAGAGTCTCTGAGACACCATTCGGCTGCAGGTTAGAAACAGTGAGGGATTTCTGTAACATATCTGCAATTGCTTTATTGAGCTTAGGGAACTTGGGTGAGATTCTGCTCAGTCCATTATACAGACAGTGTAACAAGAATAAATCAAAAAAAAAATTTAAAGCAAAAAAGCTAATAAAGTACTTTTTCAGCTGTGACTTGTAAGTGTCACTGTGATAGATGGCAGCACGATCCATTATGCAAAGACAAGGCTCTTAACATGAAATTTTAGAATTCAATTTTACGATTTGCAGAGAGGGCCCTCCCCTCCCCCTTGTATTTACGGCACAACGGTCTGTTTTGATTCAATCTCGGCGTAATTGAAACCCGGGCAATAGATCTCGGTTAGTGATACGGGCACTTTTTTTTTTTCTTTTTTTTTTTTTATCTTGAAGGAGGGAATAAGCCCCTGTAATGTTAATAATGGAGCTGAGAAGATTGCTTCACTTTATAAATCTTATTTGCTCTATCTCCTCGTTTGGCAGCAGAGGGCTGTCTCTCAGCAGCACCGAAGCTGGGAAGCCTTGGGCAATGCCGGGCGCGATAGCTGCTTTTTCATGGAATGAAGGTGGGCTCCCATTGGGTTGACCTGCACTCCCTGTCCTCAGCTAGCGCAGCAGGAGCTCAATGTTAGCTGCTGGCCTGCTCATTTTTGATCCTATTATTACTCTTTTTACCCTTCCCGGTAAATATTTAGCTATTTTAATCCCCCTGTTATACCGAAGAATTTCTGCAAGTTTTTGTAAAATTAAAACCTGGTGGATTTTTTTTTTTTCATCGCCAGGGTATGCTTAAATAAAATCACTCGTGTAGAGCGAATTTTGAGCAGATGCGGTGGGGACACATCACAGGCTCTGTCCAAAACCCCCGGCTTGTGCTCCCCCCACTGTGATGGGACCTGGGGGTCTTTTCAAGCAGTGCTCCCCAACCCAAAAACTGTTTGACCCAAAAAAGTGAAAACTGAAGTGTCTCTCCCCTACTGTCCTTTAATTACTATAACACCTTGTGTTACTGGCGAAGTATTACGTGGCTCAACTGTTAACTCACATCCCAGGCATCAATACTTTCTGGGCAGGGGAGCATAGAAAACCACAAGTGAAAATTAACTAAAAATACCTATACTTATATATATATATATTTCTTCTTTCTTGAAGCTGAAAAGTGTTCAAGCAAAGAATAGAGCTTTCCAAAACCAAGAACTTTTGGAATGTTCCCTGATGTTGTTGATGTAACCAATCAGAAATTCACACTTTTCTATTAAAAAAAATAACAATAATCATGTTTATTTTGTGTGAGGACTTCTAATGCAGCTCCAGCCAAGAAAGAGGACTTTGTATCAAAGCTGCATGTATAAGCCCAGCACTGGAGACTCTTGTCATTACCCTGTGTAATAATTTTCCTGAAGTCTGGAACTAATTTTTTGAGAAATTTTTTTTCTCAACACTTTGTGTTTCTAATACTGTATTCTTGACTGTGTAAATACAACAAGGCTGTA